AGGGGCAACTCCAGAGTGGAAGAGTGTCCAGCCCCTCTCAAGGAAACTGGTTCCAGAGCCCGAGCCATGCTTAGAGGTGAGTCCGACTATTTCTAGCCGGAACCTCTCAGCCTCACACACCAGCTCAGGCTCCTTCCCCACCAGAGAGGTGACATTCCACGTCCCAATAGCCAGCTTCTTTAGTCGAGGATCAGACCGCCAGGGTCCCCGCCCTCGGCCACCACCCATTCCACATTGCACCCGACCCCTTTGGCCCCTCCCACAGGTGGTGAGCCCATGGGAAGGGGGAACCACGTCTTCTCTTCGGGCTGTGCCCGGCCGAGCTCCATGGGTAAAAGCCCGGCCACCAGGCGCTCGCCCGCGTGCCCCACCTCCAGGCCTGGCTCCAGAGTGGGGCCCCAAGATGGTGGTGTCATCAGCAAACATGAAGATGACCTTTAAGCTGTACCTTGCGGTATAGTCATGAGTGAAGAGAGAGTACAAGAGTGGACTGAGGACACAGCCCTGAGGTGTACCGGTGCTGAGGACTAGTGTGGATGAGAGGTGACTGCCGATTCTCACTGCCTGTGGTCTGTTGGTGAGAAAGTCCAACTGAGATGGTGTAGAGGCAGGGCAACCGACTTGGGACCAGAAAGTTGCAGGATCAACTCCCCGCCATTCCCACATGTTGTGGTGTCCTTGAGCAAGACAACTAATCCCTTATTGCTCCTCGGGCACTTACATAGCTGCCCGCTGCTCCACCTGGGTGTATCCCAGGTACAATGGGTTAAATGCAGAGAACTAATTTAGTCATGAGAACATACAATGGTGACAACACATAGCACTTTATTATTTATTATTATTATTATTATTATTATTATTATTATTAAAGACTTCCTCCCGGCTCATATTTTTATTTGAAACAACTCGTTCTCAAAAACAGGTGTGACAAATGCTACATTAGCTACTATTACATCTCTACACTTTTGCATAATAAGGTTTGATCAGCTTGTTGCAACTTCCTCAACTATTTTCTTCTTGTTTTATGCAAATGTTAATCTCCTGAGATCCACCTGACCAGAGTGTCTAGTCAGTCTACATCAGGGCTATTCAACTGGCGGCCCACGGGCCATTTCCGGCCCGCGGGTGACTTCAATCTGGCTCACTTGATTTTTAAAAAAAAACTTCTTTTTTTTTGGTGGGGGTGGAGTCTGAGTTTTGGTTTTGGGTTCTGTTTATTGTATTTATGATTCAATGCAATGAAATAAACAAATTTAAAAGGTAACAGATCATTGTAATACTTGGTTTATTTACATAATGACTTTAATCGCTGGATGTTCGGCCCCCAAGCTGCTGGCTTTCAGAAACTGTGGCCCCCCCTGAGCAGTTTTGTTGAATAGCCCTGGTCTACATCTAAAACTTTACTCAACAGCACTGATCTTGTTCTATAAATCTTGAAAAACAACATTAAAGACCCTGGTTTGATGACTCAATGTTCTGTGACTGATGTCATGTCTGATAAGGTACTGATAACGATCTGACAGAAAATCACTCCAAAAATCACCAGACTTTCCCTTTAAGCTCACCAGACCTGCTGCTTTAGACAAAAATGCCTCAACAGGAGCTTAAGGCAGCCAAAATATAACATTTTCATATCTCGCTACAGTTTCCTCAACAGAAAACTATTTAAAAACTGTTAAATATATCCTGTTATCATGAAGTACTAAAGATGACTCCAGGTTTAGTTTTAGTTTAGGTTAAATAGAAGAGAAGCGTGCACTTCCATGAAACACTTCTGAAGCAGCATTGCTTTATGTTGTTAGTTGTTTCCTTTATGCAGTTTAGAGAGATAACCTGAGGTACGAGTTCTGCTTCCACGTGCCTTAAAGCCACGCTGTGCAAGCACCGAGGGAGGACCAGGTACAGCTCAGACACTTCTTGCATTTACCCCAACCACACAAAACTAAATACATTAAAGAAACAAATATGCAGTATTTCCTCTGCTCTAAACTATAATCAATCAATATTGTTTTATATTTTACACATTTAGTCAATAAAGAAGCACTTTGCTTCAGCTGGATGGATCCAAGTAAGACAGAGCTGAGAATTTCTGCACATTCATTTTATATTTTTTATTTCAATATTGCTCATTGAATTGGGCAGATATATAAAAATCAACTAATTTATAGCCATACTATGACCTTTATGTTGGAAAATATATAAATTAGGAGCAGACATAGAACAAAACTTTTGTCCCATCACACCTGGCATGTGGCGTCTTAAATTATTGAACCAAAAAGCGCAACTACCTCACACATTCTCTAACATTGAAAATGATTTTGCTCGACATTCAATATAAATATTGATTAAAGGTTTAAAACAATACCTTTACCAGCGATGGAAGTAAACTGAGCTATTTACTGAAGGGGCAGGGTGAGAGTCTTGAACACTTGCTGATGTTTTCAGACACTGGTATTAACAAGGTCACCAACACTCACCCAGTACCAACCACAGCTCAGGCCTGTTGCTTACTGGACAAGTTTAAGGTGACAAACTGGTCCAACCTGGTGTACCCAGCTGTGGCAGGAGTCTGAGCCTCGTCAGGAGCTGCTTTTGAACGTGACAAGAGCAGCAGTGGAACAGAAACAGCAACAGAAAAGCACAAACATGAAACAGACTGGTTTAAACAACGTGTATTCTATTTACTGGGCATTCCTCTGCATAACCAACAGAAGCGACCGCGGCCACGCTGCTCGGGCCGCAGCGCAAATGTCACAGAGCAGCCTCCCGCTGGCTGCAGACGTCACATGACTGCTGGCAGATTCATGGCTGTCTGCCTCATTACGTGGCTTTAACCTTTCTGGAGGCTCCGTGTGACAGACTGGTGAAGAACCAGAGCCGAAGACGGGGCTCGCCGCTCTGCAGAACGTTTCATGAACAGCTTCCACCTGCCATGTAGTAACGTTGACTGCAGGTGCGCATGTAGAAATGCACGAGGCTCAATTCACCAAATCTGATTTGCAAAACTATATCAACTGGGGGGGGGGGGGGGGGCACTAATGTCAGCACCTACCTCTCTTTTCAGGTCTCGTGCTGCAGGAGACCTGTTATCTGGTTTCTCTCTGAGGAACAAAAACAGCTCGCTCAATTAGTCCTTAGCACTCATCTCCAATGCCCACATGAAGACCAATCTCTTACCACCCCCCCCCCCCCCCCCATTGGTCAAAGACTCTCCCTGTTTAGCACCTACAGCTCAGGTTGCCCACCAGCAGAATCCAATATGAGGCCTTTAGCTGGGTGTGATGAGCTCAGTTGCTCGGCCTGTTATTGTATCGGCCTAATTTAGGTCGCCTCTGTCAATAGAAAGTATTGTTGGGGGGGCACGTGTCTTCTGCAGGAGCCACATGGTTTCCACAACGAGACAGTCATTTGAGCCCTCTGTGCAGGTGTCACTGTTGGCCTAAACACTGAGGGGGTGGGGGGAGAAGGAGGTGACAAACTGCCTGAAAATGTTCACATTTGTGCCAGATCTGCTCCCCCCGCCCCCGTCTGAGGGCAGGGGGAGCAGGTGACAGGTGACTGACAGAGTTTCATGGAGTTGATACATTTTAGAACATTTTACACGATGTCCAAAGCCAAGGACAGAACTTCAGTCCAGCCTAACTCACTGAATTCAAACTGGTACACACACTGTTTGATTTCTAACTGGTTTTATCCTCCACTTGGACCTGAACCTTTCATGAGCAGAGACTCAGAACCAGCAGAACCAGCAACGTGTCAACGTTTAACTAAAACTGCTGAGTCCTTGTCCCACCTGAGGAAACTCAAGGTGTTGGCACATAGCATTGTTCAGTTTCATCTGTAGACAAACAAGCTCAGACCATCAGCTTTACCCACGTCTTCATTTTCAGGTCACTGGTGCAGTCAGTGTGTGGGAGGCGGGGGACACCCTGGACACGTTTCCAGTCCATCACAGGGACACACAGACACAAACAACCATTCACTCTCTCACTCACACCTAGGGACAATTTAGAGTTACCAGTCAGTCTAACATGCAGGTTTTTCATCTGAGGGAGGAAACTGGAGTACCTGGAGAAAACCCACTCGTGCACGGAGAGAATGGCCCCCGGCCAGATCTGTAGATCAGAACCACTGGCCTCAGAGAGGGAAGGACATATTGTCGTATCTGAGGTGTCTAGAAATGATAATAAGGCTTTGATCCAGAGGCCTCCTCTGTCTGAGGAGGTTCTTTATTCTCCTCCATCCTCCCTAATTTGTTCCACGTCTCTTTATCTTAATAAATCTTCTTCTCCTGCTGCTGTCTGTGGAAAAGCGGAGCCTCCGCTGCATCTCCTCCTCCTTCTCGGAGTAATAAAAGGAGATTGGTCTTGATGTTTGGATTCTTTTCTGCCTTTACATTAATTGCACTCCTGATTCTGATTCTGGCACACACACACACACACATTTGGCTATACTGTAGTTTCCGTTGTCGTGGAAACTGCAGGAGACATCAGTCGCTCACCTCCTCCTCTCCTCCTGCTCTCCTTTCCTCTCATGTGCCTTCAGGCTCCAAGAAAGACTTGAGAGGAAAATGAGGTGAAGAGCAGCGGCCATCAAACAGGTGGTCCTGCTCCTGCTCATGGGGGTGGGGGGTGGTGTATGGGATTAAGGAGTGGGGTCCTTTTACGCACTCCCACAGCAAGGATAGATGATGGGGGGGAGGCGAGATTATCATCAAATGGCAGAGATGGATGATGGGTGGGTGTTTGATTTGATCTATAGCTGTAGTGGAGCACCTGCGGGGGGGGGGGGGGGGGGCGAAGAGAAACATTTACCTAACAACCGGGCGGGCGGGGGGGGCGGGGGTAAACAAAAACCTCCGCGGATAAAGTATTATTTCAATTCAAACAAATACGTTTTGTTGCACGCGCTCGTGTCCAAATCAAATCAAATTTACAGTATGTGTGTGTCGGGTGGTGGGGGGTTAGGGGGATTGGGGCGGGGGGGTCACTTGGTCCTACCTTGCAGCTAAACTGGCTGAGCGCGGTCAGAACCATCGTGTCCAGAAGAGCCTTCATCCAGCGGGCTTCCTCTGACAGAACCTCCACAGAAGGAGTGAGGAGCTCCTCTGCCTCCTCCTCCTGCTGCTCCCTCTGAACGCCTCCGTGTCGTAGACTCGCGATGTTTGAGCTGCAGCGCCCCCCCCCCCCACCACCACCACCACCACCACCACCCTCACACACGTATACCCTTAACTCTGCCGTTTAAAAGGGTTTGCGCGCGCTCAGCCCTTTGTTTGTTTGCGCTGAGCTGTAAACACGTTTTACACATCAGCCTGTGCATGCGCGCAAGGATGGAGCAAAGCAAATGCGGCAAATAAAATCAATCAAGTGAAGTTTTCCTCGTGATGATGCTCGGATGTTTGTCACCATGCTGTGGAGCTCATGCAGCCCATTCTGCACGTGGACCCCCACCTCTACCACATTTCCTCCCCCATTGTGTTAAGAGCACAAGCGTACCTCTGGTGGAAAAGCCGGTGCAGCTGCAGAGGCTCCGCGTCACAGCGCAGGGTCCGAGCTGGGAGCGGAGGCGGGGAGTCCGAGTCCGGCCGTCATCAGTCCTGGAGCTGCACAACCATGCGCGCGCGACAACTTTCAGCACTGGCTCTCAGCTCTGCGTGACAGGGTGCGCGGAGCTGTGCGTGAGTGTAGGAGTTTATGCAGAATTCAGCACCACAGAGACGGACAGCGCTCTGCCTGCTGGGCCAGAGGGGCGCGTGTCGGAGCCTGACACTGACCAGAACACTCAGCGCTGAATGGATTTATATACCCCCCCCCACACACACACACACACCACCACCACACACACACGCACACACAAACACACCTCCACCACTGCGTCGGGCAGAAGCGGCATGAGATGTGATTGGCTGGGGGCACCTTGTGGTGGGAGGAGGAGGAGCAGGAGGAAGAGGAGCGGGTTTTCCTGAAACTGAAGCGAAGCAGAAATTAACATAAGGTCAGGCCTGGTAACATACAACATACATACACAAAAATAAATGTATTAAATTTATACATTTTCTTTTTACACTTTCCTTCAGGGTAGTCCGGCAGGCGGGCGATACTGGTTTTGACCTTGTCTCTGCGTGCAAGTTCGTTCAGTTGTCTGTTAGCAAAAGATCTCATGAACCACTGGACAGGTTTTAGTGAAATTTTCTGGAAGTAATCATATCATGTTCATATACAATTGATTTAATCATTAGATTAAAAATGGCTGCAACAGCCAACTGAACCTATAAATCACAGAAGTTGCTAAAACTCAATTAGTTTTAAAGATATACAGCTAAACTCAGATGGAGTAGCTGAAACTGATTCCCAACCCATGTTCCAAGCACAAACTCATCGAACAAGACCTTTGTACAAGTTTGCCATTAGAAGTCAACTTTGTCTGTTAGCAAAATATCTAATCAATCACTGAACAGATTTAAATGAACTAAATAACTGTAGCCTGAAGCTGCACTCCTCTGACCTGGTTGACTTCCAGACTCACCATGAACTGTTTTCTTTAAAGTTACTTTTGACCTAAATAATGTCTGATGTTTTCACACATTCCCCGTCCTTAGAAGCAAAGTCAGCTACAGTCTGAATAATGTTTATCTTATGCTTCTTATGTTTCTATAATTTTGATTGTTGTTTTCAATCATTATAATGAAATCATGTGAAATATTATCACGTGTTCAACATACAAAGTATTTCTTTCTCCTGTTTTTCAGAAAATAACTTGTTCCTTCAGAACCACCTGTTGTAAGTGTTCTTTGAGCTGTAGCTGTTTACTTCAGAAGGGAGTCATAATGTTCCTGAGTCAAAACATCTTCTGAGAGCTGTCGTTTTATATAAGTCTCTTTGTGTGAGAGTTCGGCTTCGAACCAGAGAAAGT